ATGTGTCCAGCCGAGGAGAAAACTCAATTAGTACCCATGCCCAAGAACAAAAATGTCTATACACTAAAATACAACTATGTCATGTTCCTTTTTGAAATCTTAGTGGACAATTGGCTAAAAAAAAGTATTTGTGGCAGCATTTTTTTCTGCAAGTTTGGACAAGCCAAGAGACCGCATACAGTGCGGCTATTCGACTGAACACCTTAAGTACTTAGGGGCCAAACAGTAAATATGGTCATGGAAAGATTTTGACGGGGCTCTCCCATCCGGTGTACTATGTGCTACCAGCCCAAACGCACAAGCAACCTGCGAAACCTTAGCAAGCACAACATGAGCACTGCAATTACAGTATATTGCCAGATCGTCAGACAGATTAGGCTGGTCTAGACGAGGAAAATACAGTGCAATTTCTCTGCTGTCGTCTTAAGTAGTTTTACTCACTGTTTACTGTTTCCGTTCCAGTCAGGCTTCAGAGCAAAGCATAGCTGCTCCACGGCTATCTTAAAATCTTTAGAAGACGTTAGAGTACCATTTGACAAAAAGCAATTGACTTTATTATGCCCNAGAGCAAAGCATAGCTGCTCCACGGCTATCTTAAAATCTTTAGAAGACGTTAGAGTACCATTTGACAAAAACCAATTGACTTTATTATGCCTACTTGACTTCTCTAAAGCTTTTGACTCTGTGAGCCATGACTTCCCAGTAGATAATTTCAGGAGTTAAAAGCCCTTCCGAAAGGCCTTCCTGAGAGTCATTATTTCATTTCTATCTCCATTCTTTTTTGTATGGAGTGGCCCAAATTGAAGGGCTTCTTCTTTCGCTACCCATGGAAGACCTTCCAGAAGGCCTTGTAGAGGAGTTTTTTTTAAGTTGCTTCTTTAATTTATGAAAATTATACATCTTTGAAGAATTTGCTTAAGGTGTATAACAAACATGTGTTATTGCAACTTAAAATATTTATTGAAATTCATTTGTAATGATAAATAATATAAATTTATGCATTCGCGTAAATTGTAAATGGATAAGCCCTTCTAGAAGCCATGCAAGGAAGTACTTTCTTCAGCCCTTCTTGGGTAGGCCTCTTAGAATGACTTTACTTAAGAAGGCCTACCTAAATTATCTTCTGGGTTACTTTGCATGAAGTTGAAATACTATTTTGGTTTACGGGATTCCGCAATGCGTCTCATGCTGAGCTACTTGGCAGGTAGAACACAGTGTGTTAAAGTTGGCTCTAAAGCTTCTGGTCTAAAACCACCGCTAGCTGGTGTGCCGCAAGGATCTATCTTGGGTACATTAATATTCAGTTATAAATGACTACTTTTCTGCTTGCCAGCATATATATATGCATGTNTTTAAGTTGCTTCTTTAATTTATGAAAATTATACATCTTTGAAGAATTTGGTTAAGGTTTATAAAAAACATGTGTTATTGCAACTTAAAATGTTTATTGAAATTCATTTGTAATGATAAATAATTTAAATTTATGCATTCGCGTAAATTGTAAATGGATAAGCCATTTTAGAAGGCATGCTTGGAAGCACTTTTTTCAGCCCTTCTTTGGTAAGCCTCTTAGAATGACTTTACTTAAGAAGGCCTTCCTATTTTTCTTCTGGGTTATTTTGCATGAAGTTGAAATACTATTTTGGTTTACGGGATTCCGCAATGCGTCTCATGCGGAGCTACTTTGCAGGTAGAACACAGTGTGTTAAAGTTGGCTTCTGGTCTAAAACCACTGCTAAGCTGGTGTGCCCCAAGGATCTATCTTGGGTACATTAATATTCAGTTATAAATGACTACTTTTCTGCTTGCCAGCATGTATATATGCATGCATATGCTGA